CGGGGCTGCTGGCAGCCGGCCGGACTGTGCCTCCTGGTGCACGGTCACCTTACGCTTCTCATCCCTAAATGGGTATGAGCACGCTTCGGTCAGTACCTGCGTGGGCAGGTGATCCCAAAAAATGCAGACGGTGACACCGCGGTGACAACCCGGTGACCAGCAGGCCTGGGTGGCTGGAGCAGGTATGCTCCTCTGCGGAGGAAGGCAGGGGAAGATGCTTTTTCTTTTCTTTTTTACATAGGCTTCCCTTCCAACGTGGCACTACATGATTTATAGACCCGTGCAGCTCTACAGATATTATTTACAGTATTAATATTTCCTCTGTTACACCTTTAAATCTTTCCGGGCTCAACTTTAGATGACGCTATCTTCATGCTGAAATGAAACTATTAAATTACATCTCAATCTAAGATGAATGACAACTGTCAAATGAGTGACTCAACAGAGATGAAGCAGAAAGCGCCTGAGATTATGTGAGGCTGATTTATAAAGATTGCATAAAGATTTCTATAACCCCAGCTTCATGACTCAGCATATCAGAAGGTAATAAGTTACAGTAGGTAGAAATTTATTTCTGCTAGAAGAAGCCAAGGAAAGCTTCACCCTCTTCGAGATCAGCTATCTCCCAGCTAATTCTGCTCAGACTGAGCCTCCCTGCCAGAAACAATCAGTGCCCATCCCAGCCTGAAGAAAGCTCCAGATGCTTGCTGCTTGATGCTTTCCATTAGCATTCACTAAATTACATTTGAAGAACTTTTTCCTCCATGATACAGCGTAGGAGACATTTGTGGCGCTTTCCGACCTCCAGAGAGACCACGTTAGAACACTCCTGTTAAGCCCCCATCTCGAGCAGTCAGATGGTCCTCAGGTGAGGCAACAGCACGAGCGTGGTGCTGCTATGTGACAAGCATTCAACTTGCAGAAAACAGAACCTTTCTCTTGCATTGCTTTGCTGCGGTTGACATTTCTGATGTCAATAACTGCACATTTTCCTGCAAAAGAGGAGAAGATGAATACAGTGTTTGGCGGAACAAAAATACGATTTGCCTATACACCTAGTGGTGTCTAGCACTAATACTTAAGGAGGTGAACAATGCAGACAGGCATGCTTTGCCTCCTGTGTTGGAATATGAAATTCCTCCCTGAACAAAATCAGTTGCGATCTTTGCAAGTCATAAGGGCATTGACCACGCTCTGAAGCTGCTGTCTAGAAGCAAGTTTTAAAAGTGAAACTCTGGTTTGTGAAGTTCTGTGCATGGTTGAGCAGCGTGCAGGGATGTTTTCCAGTGCTCAAATGCAAAATTCTCTTTCAGTCAATTGAAAATGCAAATTAAAAAGGCAATTTTAATCTAATCAAGGCTAAATCAAAAGATCAAGAAAATCAAAATAGAATAAACCCAAATGAATGGAGGTATGAAAAGGTAGAAGAAAAAGCTCATCAGAAATGACAGGAGAAGGAGGAAGAGAAAAACTGGAAGGAGTGACAAAAAGAGAAGAGAAGCACAGCAGGCTAAGACAGACAAAGGAGATATAATTGCAGCCACCAGCTGTTTATATATGACTTTTTGCTAGGAGCTAAGTGGGACAGCCAAGCTCAGAGATGAATCATAAGATGCAAAAAATGCAACAGTTCCAAGAAGAACATTAATTCAGCTGTTTTTCACATACCTAGTATTTTCTACTTCTTTTCACGCTAACTGCACAGGGTCTGTATTATCCATAATGTTACAGAACCAATTGTCGAGGATCAAAATATTAATGTTGTTCATACCTGTCTAGTATTTTGAGTTCTGGGTGAATACCCACCAAAATACCTAGATGCATGGTGGATACATGTACACGGTTGATCCTTTCACGATGAACTGCTTTGGTTTTGCTAGCTCAAGTCACACTTTGAGTATGTCTTTAGTGTGTAATGTTTGTCTCAGATTTTTTTAACGGGTGTTTGCTGAGAATGACAACACATTACTGGATTTGACATCCGTTTGAGTCATGAAGGAATAGGAGATGGTTATAAACTGCCAGCAGTTCTAACACGAATCAGACCAATCTCACTGCAAGTCTTGAGGAAATTTTCATTTAATGAAAGTCTGGGTTTCTCCGATTTGAATGCAGTGATGATGTCAGTGACTAAACATTACTACAGTTTGCCAGCACCTTTGGAAATAACTGTCATTAATGTTTCTGGTG